GTTAAAATTAATAGAAGAAGTATTAGTAGTATTTAAGATACCTGAATTAAAAAGATAGATTTCCCTTTTAATAAGATCTTAAGTCAAATCCACCAGGTGGCAGTAAGTTTTTTTTCCACAAGAACAGTTCATGAAGACTTTCATATTTGTAAAAATCATACAATTATAGCATGTTTTAAGTGGCTGGTTGTGATTCCAGTCACAGTCTTTTTCAAACGCTGTGCACATGCCCACACCCGCACCCACACATTCTTCTGGCAAGTACTCATGGCGGCCATCCCAGGTCAGTACTACGTCCATATGCTATTTCATTTACATTCTCATTTAAGTAAGGTATAAAATGTTTGTCAGAAGGTGGATAAATTATTTATAATTGTTTCCCATTTTACTGAGTGGATTTTTATTTTATTTTTTTTAATTGCCAACATCCAACAGTTTTGGACCTACAAAAAAAATAGTATTGCATATATCCCAACCTAATATTTTTCTCTATTCCTTCCTGCCTGCCAACCATGCTCTGTTGAAATTCCCCTCCCCTACTTTACAGTGCCTTGTTTGTCAAAGTGTGGTCCTGGAATTTGCAGCATTCCTGGAGGCTAGTTAGAAGTGCAGAATCTCAGGCCCCATCCCAGACTAACCAAATTGGAAGTTTTATTTTAACGAGATCCTTAGGTGATTGAGCAGTTGGACAGCAAACCCCTTTAAGACATCTTGAGTGCATTCTTGAACTCTTTCTCCACATTTTTGGTCATTAAGAGTTGTTATCAATTTCATTACTTGATTTCAGTTTATCTCCCCTTTGTACTTTAAAACACATTATTAACATTATGAAGGCTAATTTTTTTTTTATTTATTTTTATTTATTTTTGAGAGGGAGAGAGAGCGTGCATGTGCAGGGGAGGGGCAGAGAGAGAAGGACAAAGAGAGAATCCTAAGCAGGCTCCATGCTGTCAGCACAGAGCCTGACGTGGGTCTCAATCTCACAAACCGTGAAATTGTGACCTGAGCTGAAATCAAGAGTCTGACGCTTAACTGACTGAGCCACCCAGGTGCCCCTAAGGCTAGTTCCTCACAACATTATAATCTGCCTGCCGTCATAATCTAGGATATAAAGAAGATCCTAAAAACTTATTACTAGCATGTTATTCCTTTTATCTCATTTATTCATTCATCTGTTTATTCATTCACCTCAGGTACTGAAATAGATGCTCCAAATTCAGTGGTGGAGAAAGCACATAGTTCATAGTACCATGTAGTGGTGGAGTTGTTAGTTAAAAACAAAAGTCAAACATACATGTAACTTAATAAGTATCATTGAGGAAAGAGTGGGCACAACAATAGACAGTAACTGTGGGTACTCTGTGGGGGAGGGAGGAGGTGAGACATAGGAGACCTACTTAAATAGGGTAGTTAGATTTTTGAGACATGAAGACTGAGGAGGAGCCAGCCACGAGAAAAGGTAGGAGGGTAGTCCAAGCAAGGGCACAGCATGTGCCAAAGCCTGAGAACAGAGAGAGATTAGCAAGGAACTAAAGGCAGTTTCTAGGTGGGGAGTGTTATGGGAAAAGTAAAAAATGAAGAACATAAGTTTGGAGATATAGCAAGGGCTAGATCAAACCGGGTGTTCTGACCATGATTAGGAGTATGAATGGAATGGGAAGCAAAAGGGTTTCAAGTAGGAGCATACGATTTCATTCTTATTTCCAAAAGAATACTCATGCTGCTCTGTACAGAACAGATTGAAGGGGGCACGCAAGATATTTGAGATACCCAAGAGGAGACATCAGGTAGGCAATTGGACATAAGTGTATGGAGCCCAAAGGAGAGGTGTAGGCTGGAGTTACAAATTTATGAGTCATTTCAGGGGCGGCTGAACTGGGTGGCTCAGTTGGTTAAGCATGCGACTTCAGCTCAGGTCATGATCTCAGGTTTTGTGAGTTTGAGCCCTGCATCAGGTTCTGTGCTGACAGCTCAGAGCCTAGAGCCTGCTCTGGATTGTGTCTCCCTCTCCCACTGCCCCTCCCCTGCTCACTCTCTTTCTCTCTCTCAAAAAAAAAAAAAAAAAATTAAAAAAATTTTTTTAAAAGTTACTATTAAAAAAAATAAAACAAAATTGATGAGTCATTTCAACCATTCCTAGGTTTCCAGCAACAAATTGTAAACATCTAAAACCATCATCCTTACTACTAAACCTTTATGTAGCAGTTTATAATTTACATTTGATCATCACAATTCTCTGAGATGCTTATTCTTCTATGTTTACAGATAAATGCTCTGAAGCTCAGACAAATTCTTTTAACTTGTTCAATGTCTCTTACTTTAGAACTGGTCAGGATTTAAGCCCAGACCTTTGACTACAAAGTCTATTATCACCACCTCATATTATTGTACTGCCCTCTATTTTAAAGGATCTAGAAACAATATTAGAAATTGGCTAACCCATGGAGATTTCTTTAAAAAAAATGCCACAAACTTTTCTTATATTCCCTATTATGCATATCTTAAATTTCCTGTGTTCCAGTTTACCTTAAACTATGGTGGTGAAACTAGGAATGCCAATGAAAGGATAGACAGGACTTTGTAACTGATGGGACCCAAGAACTAGGGGGAGGACTTGAGCAAGAGATGTAAGAATCATACAGAAGGGAATATCATTTGTAATAGCCAAGGCTTACATGGGATCTCTTATGTACCAGGTACTATTACACACACACACACCCTTACATCTATTTTCTGTATCTCAATTATCCCATGAGACAGGTTTGCTACTATCCTCATTTTACAGATGAGGAATGTGAAGAACAGAGAAATAACTTGCTCAAAGTCATGTAGATATTAAGTGGTGGGTTGGGATTTCAATCCAGCAGTTTTAGTTTCCAATTTTGTACTCTTAACAACTAAATTATATTGTCTCTATCAAGACATCAACTAGGAGAATCAGTTGGAAAGGGTGCTGGAAATGCTGTTTAAGTAACAGCAAGGTATATGAGAAAGAATTAACAGAATATTTAAATTACATAAATTGTTGTTTAGGATCTGTGAAACTATGAAGCAGGATTTTTCTTAGGGAAAAGTAGAATCTAGAAGTTGGAAAAGTTATTAGAAATATATGATTCAGTTTTCTTCTTGGAGAGAGTACGGGGAGAACAGATAAACTGTGAACTGAACTGGGGAAATGTTCAAGCAGTGGCAAAGGACTGAGCAGAAAAAAAGAGGATTATCAATTGGTCTTGGTAAATGATTAAATACAGAAAATGAGAGAGGAAGGAGTCAAAGATGAACGTGATTTGATACTAGTGACTAAGAGTATAATGGAACCATTAAAAGGGCAAAGGTGTTTTTGAAGATAGGAGTTCTAGATGAGGTAGAATCTGAGGAGGGATCACTTTCTCTAGAATATAAACATCCATGTCATAGGGGAAGCATGCAAACCCTCTGGTCTGGCTGCAACCTACCTTATCCATATTATTAACCTTGCCTGCTCTCCTACTACCAGCATCCTTTAGGATTCATGATAGCAAGTGACAGAAAACCTCTCACTAGTTTAAGCAATAAAACAGACACATGAAAGAACTAATTTAACTGAAATTTCCAGTTATCTGGCCCACGTTGGGTTCAGGGCATTAAATGCTAACAAGGCCAAATCTCCATCTTTGAATCCGCTTTTTTCCACGTTGCCTTCTTTCTTAGAATAATCCACGAGTGGAAAGATGGCTTCAGGCCTTCATTTTTCCAGATTTAAATCCATTGGCAGAGAGAGCACCCTACTTGGTAACTCCAGCCTAAGGCAGAAGATCAACTCAAATATGCTTCCTTCACTGGCTTCCTTCCTTCCTTCCTTCACTGCCCCAGCCATAATGGACTGAGTGAATAGTTCTCCAAGAGGAATTATTGGAATAGAAAATGAATATTTAACAGGCAAAAATGTCTGCTATATGATGGAGTGGTTAAAATCCTCAGGTGAAGGATCAGGGATAAGTTCCCCAATTTTGATGTTCTTTTTCTCTTTCTGCAAGAATCATAAATGCTTACTGAGATGAATGTTACCTTGAAGGGAGCAATTTTGAAACAAGAAGATGGTTTCTATTGTAAATCCAAAAGACATTCACTAAAACATGAAAAATACTAGGAATTAGGGCTGTAAAGACTTCTTTTCCAATCATTGACAACTACTGAAACGTGCTTTCCCATATGGACCAAGTGTGTTATAAGTATCAATGGAAGTAATTTCCCCTAAAGTAAGTAGGAAGTATTCACATGCTTTTCTAATAAGGGAAGCCGTGCAGATTAGGTCCTGGTGTATCCTCACTGCTTCATCCCTCATCTGCCATTATACTGTCACCAGGTTTTTAAGGCCAGGTGAAAAACTCCGAAGGAACACATCTTGACCTTCTTTTACCTCCCTCCTCCAGCCACTGGCGCATATCCGGTCTCCGCAGGCCCACCCACCAATAAGAAACACGAGCCTTGCTCCTTCCAGAGAGAAGAAAAAGATGTCTCTGGATGTCCATCCACCTTCGCAAACAACCTCTCCCAGCCCCAAGAGAGGAAACACGAGTGATGCCGCTGGTGAATGAAAAAAGTCTTCCGCCTGCCAACACCCGGAAAATCTTCCCTGGCGTTGTTGGCAAAGTGATTTGCTTTTTAAAAGGGAGAGGGTCTCCTTTTGCACCCCCGGATGCCTCATCCAGCAAGAAGCTCTTCCTCCACCTCCTCCCCCTCCTCGCTCCCTACCATAGGCGAAAGCCAAAGCCGCCCGGACCTAATGCCAACGATTCCCCCGATCCGACCAGGCCCCGCCTCCCCGGCTTTCCAGTAACGAGTGCGGAGTAGGGGGCGCCGAGGAAATACCGGTCTCCCTCCGCGGACGGCGCAGACGCACGGCTCAAGGGAGCCGGAGTCTCCTCGGCGCCCGGGATCCCCTCCGCGGCTCGGCGCTGCCTAACGGGGCAAGTCGCATGCGCATCGAGTTGCGCCGGGGAAAGGGAGAGTGAGGGGAGGGGCAAACTCAGAGCGCCGGCGGTCGGAGCCCGCGAGGGTCACTGACGACGCATGCGCTGGCAGGGAGCGCAATCACAGACTAGGTTTGCGGCTACCGGCTTAAAAAGGAAACCCCCGAGAGTGAGAGCGCGAAGGAAATCTGGCCGCCGACGCGTGCGCGCTCTTGGTGAGTGGCGTCCCACCGGGTGGGCCCGGGGCCTGAAGTCCGTCGGTAGGCTTGCCTCGGCGGCGCATGCGTGCTCCTAGTGCCGGTGGAGGAGGGGAGGAGAAGGGAGGGGGAGGAGCGGGCGGCAGTAGCGGTGAATTTTTTGGAGGTGGGTGGGGGGCGCTACTCACAACCCCAGGTGCTGCTTGTGCTGGAGCCGCGGTGTCTCCTGGACGCTGTCGGGTTAGTGGTTCCGAGTCACCGCAGCCAGACTCCAGGGTGGGGGAGGGAAGAAGCCGGAGCCGCCGCAAGCTACACGGTGAGAGCGCGGGGAAGGGGAGGGAGCGGGGGGCGGTGTGTGTATGTGTGTGTGTGTGTGTGTGTGGCCGGGGGGGGGGGGGGCGGCGGCCAAGGGAGGGGAAGGCGGGAGCTAAAGCCCAAGTTTTGCTTATCGCCCTAGTGTGCCTTTTCCCGGGAGTTGGGGTGGAGTCGCACCCTAGCTGAGGGGCCCTCTGGGCTGCTGGGGTTACCTGCGGGGCAGGGGCGGGATTGGGGTGCACGGTGGGGCCAGGTGGCTAGAGCGCGCCCCGGGGCTGGGGCCGATTCCAGCGGCAGGGCGGCCGGGAAAGCCGGAGACGCGGTGCAGAGAGGGCTTTCGCTGGGGACCCGCTAGGCCTTGTGACCCACTTTATTCCTGTCACAACTCGGGCACGTTTGGAGCGGCGCCCAATGGGGCGCCGGGGCGGCCAGCTCCTCCGGGGAACCCCCGCCCTGCCGGCCCGCGCGCCGCGGTCCGCAGTCCGAGCGGCGGCCGCCGCCCGTGGGCTGGTTCCGTTAGTGGTCGTGGTTCCGGGGCTCGGTTCCCGGGGAGCGCGCGGCTCCGCGCGTCCGGCTCGGGCAACTGCGCGGGTTCGGGAGCTCGAGGCGCTGCGCCAGGTCTTCCTTCTGGCGACCCGCGCCTCCCTGCGCCTTGTCACCACCGCAGCTGGCTGTTCTAGATCCCTTTCCGCCCGAGAAGCTGTAGTCTGTGTGTAGCTGGTCCTGCGCTCTGGCCCCGGTGTGTAATTTCCAACACGTAGCGCTGCAGAGCTTACATTCTTCAGAGTGTTTTCGCTGGTGTAGAAGTCGTCCTGTTGATGGTAATAGTGAGCAGGATCCAGTAAGATAAATGGCTCGGCCTCTGACCTGTCGGATGAAAGATCGAATCAGTGGTTGTTTCTTGCTATTAGGATACCGGGCTAAAGGACTTCAAGGCTTATTAGCCTTGAAAACATTGATTCTTTTTTTTTTTTTTTTTTTTGTTGTTACAGTGAAAGGAAAGCACAAGAAGAAAGTTTTACAGTCATTGTTGATATGACTATTATGCTGGTCCCCCAGATCAAAAAAAAGGTAATTTCACTTGGAAGATTGCATTCTAACTTGTAGCTTTATTTTTAGGGATAAAGAATTGTGGAGTGTTTGTTCCTTCACCTGCTTCAAAAACAAACGTTTTAAAAAGGATATAATTTAGCTAACGAATTGGCTTCTTGAAAGCTATCCCTTGGGAACCTCAAATCTGGTTTGTTTTAAAATTTTGTTGGGGGAAGGAAACTAACTCAGGTGTTATGTAGTTGAATGAACAGAATGTCATTAAAGGTTAGCCAGAAGAAGACAGATGAAAGTTGTGGTAGAACTAGTCATGATCAGTTATGAGAGAAAGAATGAGGAAGCTTTTTGTGCCCTGGCATGGAAAGATCTCCAGAAGATGTTATAGAGTGGGAAAAAAGTCCCTCCCCACCCCCCACAAAAAGGTGTAGGACAGTGTGAATAATTTGCTACTTTATGTGTTAAGGTGTGGGGAAGGAATAAGAATATATACTTATGTTTGCTCTTCCATTATAAAGAAACTGGGAAGATACTGGAGAAGAAATAAGGGGGGCGGGGGCCGGTAACCTGAAGAAGGGAGGTGGGAAATGAGAGGCACACTGTGTCTTTGTATTTAAAACTCTTGGTGGCTGTGTTACAGATTCATAAACTAGATTAAACCAAAATCCTCTTCTCAGAATAATTTGCTATGTGGGTTTTGTCTGTCTGCCTGTCTCTGTTCTATTGCTTGTTGTGGTTTTGACCATTTTCAGTATGATTGCCCTTTATATTTCTTAGAAAAATGAACTAACATTGAAAGAAAATTTAGGATAAGTTTGGCTCTTTCTACTTTAATTTTTAAGATGCTAAAGTCACAGACTAAAGATATTTAGTTATATTTTGCTTAGCTAAAATATATAATGGTATTTACATTGGGCATTATGGCTGGATTATGCTGTTTTCAGAGTACAGCTTTGTGTCTCCCTGTTTTTTCGGGAATTATAGTTGTATAAAATTTCACTTTTTTTAAAACTCCAAAGTTGTGATAATTGGAGAATATGAACACCTCATTACAATGAAAATAGACTTGATTTTCCAGGTAGTTTGCTTTTCAGACTGGGAAACTTTTTTCTCTTAAGGAAAGCAGACATGAACCTCGATTTCTGAAATTTGTTTATATAGTTCTTACGAAAAATTAAAATATATTTGAGGGGCAGCATTCTATTAGTGCAATAAAACTTTTTATGATTTATGGATTGCTAGAAAAATTAAGATTTTTTTTTTTTAACTGCCAACCTAACCTTTTTAACTAGGTTACAATTGCAAAAGGGCTTTGTTAGAGTGGATGTAATTTTTGAGGGGAGGGTACTGAAACTCCCTCTGGTGGCTAATAGTGTATAATCAAAGTAGTGAATGTTGAGTAGTGGGTGACAGTTACTGTCGGCATTTTTGTTATGTAACCAGTATTCCTTTTTATTTTGTAGGTTAAGATAATTGTATTATTTCTGTTTGATTTGTAGGTATCTAGTAGCCAGACTTCTGCAAAATGGCATTTATTTTTCTTTTGAATTCCATGTAGGTCTGTTAATCCTTTTTGAAAAAAATAGAATCACATTTCCAAGTTTTACTTAATTTTGTTTTTAAAATTATGGAAGTAAATTGATGCTCATGAAAACAATACAATATGTATATAAGTGAAAACTTCCTTTGCACACTTATGGTTTTATTTCACGTCCCTCCCCAGAGATAATTGCTATTAACACTGTTGTATAACCTTCTCTATCTTTTTCTGTGCATTTATAAACCTAGACTTTTTAATATTGAAAATCTTAGCTCTCTACATTGGGTTCTGTACTACCCACAGGACAGGGATATGACTTGGAGTATGTCAGAAAGTTTAACTAACGTGGTATATACCTCTTAGAACATACTCCTCTTTTCATTTGTGAGGGGTCAGTCAGCTTGGGGTGCATTTACAGTTTGCAGTAAGGTCCTGCTGATGTGAGCTTTATCTGGTGTAGATTGTATTTATCTGAAAGAGTTGGGTTTCCTGGGTTTTATAGGACTCTTTAGAGTCTACATTTTAGGGTTTTCTTTGGGTTTTGACCTGGTCAGTAGCTCACAGGTTAAACTTTGATTTTTATTCTTCTGTTCTTGCAGACAAGAAACTCCCTAGGTTACATGAACCTTTCCAGGTCCTTTGAAGTGAAGATAGGTAAACTCTGTCCTTAACTAAGGGACACTGATTGACTTGGCTGGAATCTAGTCTTTGAGAGGGAAAGGAGGAGAAGAGGCCTTTTAGTCTGGTTTGTACTTACCTGACAGCAGACAAGGAGTATGCATACCTCCATCCACCTCCTATTTCCTTCTGCAAGAGAACACTACCTTTCTAATAATTCTTTTCAGGTGATAGAGTGTGCAGAAAGTTCAGAGTATGAATCAAGACTAAATCTTTACTGTTTAGTATTTACTAAGCTATGTGAGATACATAGATTTCAGTACATTGACCCTGCCCCCTGTGGGTCTGATGTCTAGTATAGTTAAAAGAGCATGTACATAAGGATTATGACACAAGATAGAAATGATCGATTCCAGGGGCGCCTGGGTGGCGCAGTCGGTTAAGCGTCCGACTTCAGCCAGGTCACGATCTCGCGGTCCATGAGTTCGAGCCCCGCGTTAGGCTCTGGGCTGATGGCTCAGAGCCTGTTTCCGATTCTGTGTCTCCCTCTCTCTCTGCCCCCTCCCCCATTCATGCTCTGTCTCTCTCTGTCCCAAAAATAAATAAAAAAACGTTGAAAAAAAAAAAAAAAAAAGAAATGATCGATTCCAGAAGAAAAATATACATGAGGTTTAAAAGGGTGAGACTGTTTCCAGCGTTTTGTTTTTGCAGGCGTGGGATTTAGAGGGAGAGTTTATATCTCATCCTTTTAAATAATTAAGAAAGGATAAGAAGGATAGACTGAGAAAGTTCAAATCTTAAGCTTTTAAAGAGTAAGCAAGTAAGGAGTTAAGTTGCGTTGTTGCAGCAGACGTTTGTAAGACTAATTGATAGTTGCTTTTTTGTTTTTATACTAGTCCACAGGAAAGAGCCATTTGATGTTTAATTTGATAATTATAGCCTCTTTGAGATTTCAGGATTGTTAGAAATATTAGGAGATTTAGTTCTGTCAGTTAACTATTATCTACCATCTAATATGTCGGGAGATGTTAGTAATAAAAGTAAATTGTTTCTTACCTTATTTCCTTTCCTGAAAGTACATATTTCATATACCTTCTCTCCCACAGTTTTACTCCTACTGCTATGTCAGTTAAATATTTGCTGCAAATATTTTAAACTGTGAAAGCAAACAACAACCTTGTGAAAAATCAAAGTTCCACATTATAGCAGTATTACCTTTTGTTGTTTGTGTCTGTTTCCTTCCAGTTCTTTGCAGAGGCATAAAGTAAGTTTTTTCATGTGTAGTTTCTTATAGGCCTTGTACTAGTAAAGATTGCATTTTCTCTTTTACCAAGTCTAAAATTCTAGATGCAATTGTATGAATTACTTATAGAATAAAGTGTCAGAGCAATTTCTTACAAGTTGACTGTAATTATTATAACGACATTTATATTTATAGGTTGCTTTTACAGCCATTTGTTAGTCATTTTTATAGCTCTGTTAACAACTTCTGTGAATTAGATGGATAGGAGTTTCCAGTTTTTCTCCATGTTATTAGTTATACAAATGTTAAATTACCTAAATTCATCCTCATAAGTATAGTGTCAGCTCTTGAGTTGTTAAGTATTTTTGGTGTGTATTTTACAAAGATGTAATTCTGCTTATTATTTTAAGTCTTAGAAGTCTCCATAAAGAAATCACTTTGTAAAAATTAAATATTTATGAATTGTTTTTGACCTACAGTATACCGCTTAGGATGTGGCTTACTTTGTTTTTCAGAAATATTTTAAGTTTTACATTTATATGGTCAAATAGTAAAACAGGAATTCCCATATTTTTCAAAGAGTTCATATTTAGTCAGGTACTTAAGTTTTTAATTCTCATTCAGAATAGTGGAAAATGAAAACACAGGTTGGTTCACCTTAAGAGGTTTTGTATTTGAAAACAAACAAAACCAACCACAGATGGGGGTTTTATTAGTAAGGGTTAAACCATATGCCTAATATAGAGTTTATTATTTGTATTAAATCATGGCTTAAATGTACACAGTTGCCTTTGTCTCTTTTTAAATCTCTTCCCCCCAGTTATGAAAATAGCACCTCCCTAACATAGAAAATTTGGGAAACAGGAAAAAGCATGAACTAAATTTTTAAAATATCACTGGAAATCCCACTACAAAGAGGTGCCATTGGTAACCTTCTGGAATAGTTTCTTGCTTCATTTTTTTAGCCATTATATAAATATATGTGTACTTGAAGACACTTGATGTTTACAAAATGGGCTCATAATGCATCTACTGTAGTGCATATTCTCTCCCCACCCCATGTTTATTTATTTATTTCCTTATTTTGAGGGAAAGCCTGCTTGGAAGGAGGTGGGGTGGCGGGAGGTGGGGTGGAAATCCATCCTAAGCAGGCTCCTTGCTGTGCACGGAGACTGACACTGGGGACAGTGAGATCACAATCTGAGCCTGGTCTGAGGCTTTACCAACTGAGCCACCCAAGAGCCCCTGTAGTGCAAATCATTCTATTCACTTAACAATGAATCCTGAACATTTTTATTTTTATGTTGGTAGTTTTCTACAATGTGATTATTTTTAATGGCTGTGGAGTACTCTCCTCTAGGTTTGTGTAACAATATACTGATCTTTTCGCATGGACACTTAAGTTATCAATTTTTAAAATAATGTGTCACTCTTGAATTAGAATTTAAGTAGACTGATACTGAATTTGTATTAATATCCAGGATAAACCAAACATTTGTGCTTTTGTTGAAAAAAATGTTCCATAAGTATATAATAAATTAATAATGACCTATAATAAAGTGAATCTATATTTTATTTCTAAAGTGTGTTTTACTGAACTGTATTAAGTTAACTTTTTATGAG